TGACCCTCAAGACAGCCCACACCGGGGGTTTAATAAACTGTGACTCTCCACCAGCTGTTGTAGAACTGAAGAAGCTTCTTGAAAAAGAGATAACACATCTTCAAAAACCTAAAGACATCCAGTTGCATTTTTTAAGCTCTCAAGATTAGAGAGAAGATATACAGAAATATTAGAAAGAGAACTCCTTAAGCGCCTTGAGGTGACTGTTGTGATTTGGCGCTATATAAATAAAATTTAATTTCATTTAATTCAATAATCTGATGATCCTCGATGAGCAAGTATCTGGCGAGAGTAGGAAGGAAGGGCTCCTATTTAACAGGAAGAACAACCAGATTCAGGGTGTCATGAAATGAGGAGGAGGACCCCCAAATGCTGTCTTCAACAGACAGATTTAAAGGAAAACTTAAGTGAAGGTTTTGAAGATAACATAGTCCAACAGGAAGCTAAAGCCGTGGAATCCAGAAGAGTCATGTGATCAAAAAACTTACTGGCAACACACCATGACAGATGACTAATCCACCAATAAAACAGATTAGAGGGCGTTTTTTAAGCAAGAGCCACTTAGGGGAAATGAATACAACTATGGAGAACACACAGGTATCAACAATCATGGAAAAAAGACTAGGGGAAATACAACTGATTACTAAACATGTGAGACAAACACTACCAAAGTAAAACAGGAAACAAATAACATTTTACAAAGATAGCAAGATACAGGAAACATGGGGGAACCAGAACAAACAGAATCAGGGAATATAAGCAAACTATAACCGAGAACTAAAATAGACAGCTAAACTAAAACTAGGGATAGCCCGAGGATATACGCAAAGAAACCAACCGTGAATATCTGCAAGAAAAAAAATAGCAACTCAAAGCACAATAACAGAAGAATCACAAAAAGAAACACAAACCTTAAAACAAAACCTAGTGTCCGTGACATAGAGAGGGACAGTCATCTACAGCAAGAACAAGCAGGACAAAACAAGGATCCAAGGATTTCATGTACAAATTTCATCATCATCATCATCATCATCATCATCATCATCATCATCATCCATAACAGTCTACAATTCAGATCTTGGATGCAAAATATAGGCTATGCGTCTTGACAGGCTAAATTACGCAGATATATTCTAAATGTCAATTGCCTGCATGTTATATTTTTACACTCGACATAAATAATGTAATTTAAATCAAATCAAATCACTTCGATTGTCACATCACATGTTCAGGTACACTGGTACAGCACATGCCAGTGAAATTCTTGTGTGCGAGCTTCACAAGTAACAGAGGTGTGCAAAATGCAACAACATAAGAACAAGCAAAATATAAGGATGGGAATTTGAAAATTATACGAATAAATATAATATGCATACTAAATATGTATATATACATATGTGTGTGTGTGTGTGTGTGTGTGTATAAATAAAATAAAATATACAGAGGTCAGCAGTTGGATACTTTGAAAAACAAGTGGCATTTATGTACAGTATGGAGCACTGTTTACCCTGTTAAGACTATTCTCTGTCCCCTCAGTCATACCCTCTTCGGGATGGTTGGGCTTATCTG